ACTGCTCAGAAAGTTAACAACCGTTTCTCCTGAAGTGCTGTGAACTGGCTGAATCCCACCACTGGCTGTAGCCCTAAACATGTTTTGCAATTTTCATTCAAGGTTCTAAAGGATCTCCCGGCATTGGAGGTTTCAGCGGTCCTATGGGGTTCAAAGGATGGCCAGGACAGAAGGGAATCCATGGAGAGAAAGGCCTCTCTGGGAAGCCAGGTGTTAAAGGCCCATCAGGGGAATTCGGATTTAAAGGTATTATCTTCAGTGTTATGAGACCCTCACATTATTCAGTATGCACAGATATGTTCATGTAAAATTGTAAATAGGCTTTAAGAAAGCTTTTGTTTAACCCAAAATTCCTTTTATAAAAAAAAACATTACAGCTTAATCCTATGTATATTGATTTAGAATCAAATTCTATAAATTCAATTGGGTTTATTCTGAGTAAATGTCTTTAAGAAAGTTAGCTTTAATCTTACCACATACAAATTTCAACAGTATCTTTTTGCTTTGCCTTTGTCTCCTATGTAAGGCAAATGAAGAACAGTTGCCAAGTTTAAAAGCATTGCAGTTTGCCCTTCTTTTAACAGAAGAATCAGAAAGAGGGTTTTAATATGTATTTTGATTTTAAATTTTAAAAAGCCTCTTCCATGACCCCAGTTGAAAAAGAACAATGGGTGCATTATTACTAATAGTAATTTTATTTTGGTCATTCACTAGCAAAACAAAAGAGTCACAATTGATTACAGTACATTTTAGCTCATCATTGTTGTTATTAGCTGTCATGAATTGAAATTACAATCCGAGCTGTTAACAAACACGTCTTACATAGCAGTTCAACATACGTTTCTGTGGAGGAGATTCAATATACTTTTCCCTTCCTTGTCTCAGATTGCCCTCTTTCCTCAAAGAATATAAATTCCTTGCTTTCCCAATCTAACAAGGTGCTGGATGACCAAACATTAGAATTTGACTCACTGACAGAGGCATTGATGGGTAGAACTTTCTCCAGGGTGGGTTGATTGAGGTCAATGTTCTTTCTTAGCTCAGAGTATTTTCATTGATGGGATTTTTTATGAGTTTTGATGTACCAGCATTTTTTAAATCTCTGTTATTGCTTTTTCAAAGATATCTGTCCTTAGATCCATTCCCTGTCTGGTCTGATAGCTGCTGGCAGGGAAGTTTGGATTTGAACAGTAATCAGCAAATGCTTATCTTCTGCAGTGAGTTAAATAGAAATATATGAAGGAATTACCAGAGCTCTTTAGAGTACCGTATATATTGCCACTTTGCCATCTTCCTATCACTAATAAAACTAGAGATGCAGAATGTAATCTCTATAATCACATTTTTACATTATTTTCAGTTTTTAAATCCTAATTTTCCTGGAAGAAAAAAAGGGGTCTCCTACTTACTGTTCAAATCGAATAGAATTTACGGTATTCTCAAACAAAATAACTCAATGGGACAATTTGGAAGAGTATTAAAAATCTGCAAGAAGAGGGACAAAGCATTTTTTTTATTTCTGCCATTTCCTCTTAAACATGTTGCTTTATATGGTAAAAATATTATCACAGCATGCATTTTTCTTTCTAGATAGCTAGAAGTCTAGGTTTAGAGGAAAAGATAGAGCATATGTTTTGCATGAGAAAGATGACAGGTTTGAATGTTTGACTTTTCCAGATAGGGCTGGAAAAACCTTTGGCAGTGAAATTGCTAAAAATGAAAATAGAGAAAGGCACAATTCAATTTAATATAAGGCAACTTGTATGCTTCTAATACATCCTTGATAAGGATTCTTATCTTGAAAGGTGATCGTGGAATTCGTGGTCTACCAGGAGCACCTCCTAAAATCATGCTACATGTAATGCTGGAAGTAAAAGGTGAAAAGGGAAATCAAGGAGTATACGGTGTTAAAGGGGATATCGGTTTAAAAGGTAAAGAGACACTATATATCATAAATACAATATATTAACAATTTTGTTGTACCCTTCAGTATGCACCAAATTCTGATTTTTCTACAATGAGGGCAAGCTTCCTTCTCATCAGATTGTACATTCCTCCTTGTATGAAAGCATTCCCCACCCCTAGTTTACCAATCTTTCCTAACTGAAACAATTCATTGCCTCTTACTATTCTTCAGTTTTTCTCTTCCCTGAATTATGGATGACTTCAAATACGTAAATAACAAAAGGAAGAGATTCCTAGTGAATTGTGGATAACACAGCTGTAATGGTCTCAGACTAATGGAAAAGGAGGGTTGCAGCCAATTGCATATTACTCTCAGAGAGTAGAAGACACATATAGTAGTGTTTCTTATGTTAACAGTCTTTGGACCTTTTTGAAACCTCAGACATCTGCATGTCTGGGAAACTGGAGAAGTTATAGAACTATCCTATTAGTCTGAACTCTACATATTCAAGCTGTCAAGACAGGGAAAAATGGCTTTTCCTGAATTGAGATGGCTTGGGTTTCATTATACTCTGAATCCTCTTCACAGCCTTGTTAGATTCCTGACATAAGATTGTGGCCATCACAGTTTATCTTGGAGGAATTTTATGAGAGGGCTTAAGGAAGTAGGCAAGAGTAGCACTGTTCTTTAGAGATCCAAATGCTCAAGAAAATGCCCAGCTATGGTCCACCATATCCCCATTATTTTGGGCTGATTTCAAGTGATAAAGCCAGAGAATGCTGTGCTTTAGTAAATTAGGATAGCATTCACAGCCAGGCACCAATTGATCCCATTCAAGGAAAAGCAGTGCATTCTAATCAATATTAATTAATTAATTATTTTTTAATCAAAGGTTCTAGTGTGCAATTCATAGCAGCATAAAAGACATCCATGAATATAATAACCATATTGTATTACAATAGCAAAATGTATCTAAAAACAAAAAAAAATCATATTTGAAATGTTCACCATAAAGTCAATACTAGGCATCAAATGTCTAAAAAGAAAGGTTTCAATGCTTGTCTGAATGCCAGAAGTGAAAGACCAGATGTAGCATATTTCTCATTGGGTCAATCATTGAGAATGTCTGCTTTCTGATCCTCTTATCTTTCACCATGGAAGGATCTTAGGCAAGCCCTTTTGGTTGTCCTCACAGGATAGGCAGAATGATGTTGGATATAGTGGTCTGTGCCCCTATTGAACATGCCAATTTAAAAGCAAGAACTTTTGGATAGAGCTCCTACTGCTGCCAAGCATACCTGAGACATAAAGTTTTGCAGAGATGAGAATAAATTAATATTTTCAATTGTATGTTTGTAGGACGTGAAGGATTGCTCGGATTACCTGGTCAGACAGGAATATCAGGTTTACCTGGATTTCCTAGTTTTGAAAAAGGTCAGAAAGGTGAAACTGGAATTAAAGGAATAAGAGGTGTTCCAGGATATGCTGGTATCCCAGGTCCTCGTGGTATTCCTGGCTTCCCTGGAATCGTTGGACGGAGGGTGAGCAAAACTGAGTGTGTTGATGGTTGTCTGCATGCATGAATCAAACTAACTCTGTGTTTTAACTCTTACTTTATGTGAGGTCATAAAGTAGAGCACCAAAAGCTCCAAATTCTGTAAATCTAGCCTACAACACATTAAATTATCATAAGAGATTTTACTCTTTTTTTCAAAGGTGAATCTAAAGCATAGGGCCTGGTTACTAGAGAGACCGACAATTTCTTCCGGCAGGATGGGCCTGTTCCAGGTCCCTTCAATTATAGAACATTATCTAGAGAAACCTGGAGCGTTTTGAAGACCTGGCTTTTTCTGCAGGCCTCTGTCGAGGGATAGTGAAGCTCCTTGGTTTTGTTTTTATCCTATCAGTAGTTCACACTATATTTTATTTTATTTTATTGTAATAAAATTTAATTGTACTTTCCTGGTTTAGTTGTTATGAGTTGCCCAGAGTAATTGAGAATCAGGAAGTATACAAATTTGATAAATTTAAAAAAACATAACATGCTACACATTCTATAATTTCTGCTTATCAAGACTCATGACAGCATTCTGATAAAACCAACTTTCTGGTTAATATTAATTCTAATTGATAAAATTGTGTCCATTCTCAATGTGATAGGGAGAAAAGGGTGTTCCAGGAGTCCCAGGTGTGATTGGTGAAAGTGGCCAACTGGGGGAAATTGGTGAGTCCAATTATTTTTAGGAATCTAAGTTTGTTTGAATTTTTAATTCATATATGTAGTTACACAGTGACATTGAATTTGGTTTCTTGCATAATTTTATCAATTAGAA